AAAATTCAATAAAAGCTTATGCAGCAGAGAAAATTTTAAACAAAGTGTACAAAAATTACAGAGGTCAAGGAAGTTGCCTTAGTTATCCAGATAGTTACACCACACATGATGAGCAGGTCTTGATCCCCATGACCCTCATGTAGGAAAGAGAGAACAGACTCCTACAGTTGCCTTCTGACCTCCACAAACATGGTATATGCACAATACTTCCCTTAAACAAACAGGGAAGTAAATGTAATAAGTAAAACAACAGCAAGGAAAGGTATGAATTCCTTGCCAAGAAAATATCTTACAGATATTAATGTGTAAAATTATATATAAAGACATGAAAAATTAACACAATGAGTCCCAGAAATCACATAAACAGTAATGGAATAATAAACTGAACCAAGAGATCTTGAAGTAATAAATACAATTGACAAATAGAAGAGAGAAAGAAACCGTGTATTTTCCTTTGCCATCAGTTAAATGCAAGGTAAAGCTGTTTAATATACTTCTTCCAGTCAGAATGGCTCCCATCAGAAAAACAAGTCTCCTTCCCTGTATGCTCTTTCTCCTGTCTCAAACCTACATAGTTGTCACCAACCCAAACACACCCTACCCACATGGGGCTAGACCATAGTGATGAACACTGTAAGCACTGTTCTTGAGAGGTTTGTGGATTGAGGAAAACTGGAAACAACAGAGAGGGTTCTGATGGGGTAACATTTGAAGTTTTGGACTGATGTGGACAGCACTAATGTATCTGACAGTAACAGACAGGATAGAGTTAGCCTACCACAGCATTGCTCTTGATATTGTCATTTGTCATGGACCTTTCTAGAACTATGGTTTGGTTTTTGTTTTGTTTTGTTCTGTTTTTTAGTTACTGTTTTGGTTTCTTTATTGTGACAAATTGCAATCAAAATAGATAAAACATACTTTACTGTAAAATATGACTACCCATTAGGAATGAGACATGAGTATGTTTTTGCAGTATCTCAATGTGACTGAGCAAAGGATTTGAAAACATTCAGCATGGATCATTGCCACTTTCTTATGGTCTATGGAAACTCTTATGCATTTGTCTGAAATCATTTCTCTTTTACTAACTTAACTGCTAATGACACTTCAGTATTCCAAATAGGAACTAACTATGTTTGCCTCTTTATGGGAGGAAGGACATTCATAATACATTGCCAGTCCTTCACATATGAGACCTCAATATTTCCCACTTGCTCCTTGTGAGTTCTTGTCTTCCTCTCAGGATAAAGAATTATCAGATCACCTCCAACTGTAGTCTCTTAAGAGGTAAGAGTAGTAAATTAGTCATAATTGTTTATCATTGCCATCTGTGCCAAACAGTTTTCAGCAGGTTATTTTTGTTGTTGTTGTTCAGGCCTCTATGCCCATTGCTACTGTGCGAAGGTAATTGGCAGTCAAAGGGTAGAGATCACAGAATTACAAACCCATATCTCAGGTACTGCTTGCCTTTTTAAGGCACAAAATGTAGTCACTGAGATTAGAGCACTGAGAATAAAATCCTGGCAGGGAAGGCGATGTGGTTTTCTAACACCTGCTTAGAAATTGGAGTTCATGAATTAAAGGTGATCTCAATAGTCTAGTAAGTGATTACATGAGAAAAAAAAATGAGACTTGAAATTTAAGCCAGTTGAAAACACCACCACCGAAGAGTGAAAGACATTCTAGAAGAAATGGTCCAAAGCTGGAAAAAACATGGGATCTGGTCCCACCATTAACCATTCTGAATGATTTGATCTTCACTTACAGTGACTGCTGTCATTTAGTCCAAGAGACAATGGAACCTGATTTTCAAGGTGATCATAGCTTTATATTAATCAATTTGTTGCTGAACACCCCCTCCAATCACCAGGATCTTAAACTGGATTTTCTTGGTTCTTAACACTGCACCTGTGCTGTGTCAAAGTTTGTTTTCAAGTATGTGGTGAATGTAAGGAAAGCATCTAGATCTGTAGAAAATTGTGAGTTTCTGGAAACTGTTAAAGAATTTCTATAATTGTGCAGATGTGGCAGGTAACTGTGATGCTAGCATTAACCATCCTGACAACATTCCCATCTCTAATCAAGAGCCCATCTCCCTCTGTCAACATTCTGAGGACCTTTAGGAAGAGCTAACAAAGATACTGCGAGTTTGTTTGATCACTTGTCAGGGAGTCACATCATGTTTTATTTCTTTAAAACATCCTTGTTGCTAGGGGAGTTTTTGTGAATGTGTGAAAGCACAAGAGGACTCTACTTTCTTGTCTATGATTCTTGTTAATACTGGTCTAAACAGTAAAGTCTGGTAAGTACATCCAATGAAATGTGATCTGAAAATTGTATCACATGTTATATTTGTGAGTCACAAAATTCAAGTTTGTATATGCAACATTTGCTATAAAAATCAGTCTGCAAAGTGCTTCAATGCTAATAGCACTATTTAACTCATCTAATGATTGGGACTTAATTCAGCTTATGCAATAAGTGACTTATTTATCGTTTCTTCATACACACATTTACTACTGTGTGATTTTGTACTTAACGTGAAGTGATGGTTTGGCCTCTGATCAAGGAATAAGTCTTACAATTGTTTCATGTGCTTATTTTTAGAAAATGAAATAAATGAGCTATAGGTCAATACTACCTTAGATTCATGCTTCAGTTTACTCATTGCCCAGGCTCATCATAATGCAGGACCCTGAGGTATTACGTCCCCACAGTTCATGCACCTCTATGAACATGTCTTAGTGTTCACTAATAATTAGCATTGGTCTATACCCTTAATGTTCACAAACAAATGGATACTTAAAATAGAAGAAAATCATAAAACTCTAGCCATGTGGTATACAGTAAGGAAGTACGAGAACATAAGTAAATACTCCACAGCCATGCCTGGAAAAAATAAATAACTTGTGTGAATGGAGTATGTGAAATGGCTTTAAACTCACTCTATCATCACCCAGCAATTCCTTCCTCTCACTATCCTGAAGTAATCACAATATCAAAATCTCAACTTCACTGTGTATAACTCAGAGTCCCCTGTCATTTTCATTGTTAACATGTTAATCACTAGTATCTGCCTTGTAGATTTGGAAGAGTGAACAAGTTATATACTGTTTTTCTTACAAAACATGGATCTGTACATTATAGCCACTTATATAAACATCGTGAATCATTTATTATTAATTCTAGTGGGTGGTACTAAGTTGTATGCCAAATGTTGGGTTTTAGGTAACATGGTGCAGGCAGCCTATGCCTATCTCCCCATGTACAATTCTCAAACTCAGGCAGTGGAGATGTATCCAATGGCAGCTAGTGGCTATAGGGGTTATTTTGTTATCACAGACTGTGGCTGCAGTTTTGGGCAATTCATCTCTCATCTACAATTATGTCTTGCTTTACTTCAAGGCTTACAGATTAAAGTGCATGGACTGGATTCTGATGCACTTGATTGTGGCAAAATTCTTAACTCTCCTGTGTAAAGGTGTTCCACAAGCAATGGCAGCTTTTGGTTTACAATGTTTCTTCAATGATTTTGAGTGCAAGCTGTTTTCCTACCTTCACAGGGTGGTTAGAGATGTGTCATTTGGCAGCATGTGCTTAATGAGTCCAGGTCCTCACCATCAGCTCTGAGGATACTATTTCGACTGGCTTTAAAAAGAAAGCTCCCAAGTACATCAGCTATTCCATGTACCTGACCTGGGTCCTATCTCTTCTCTTTAGCATTGTTTCCCTTAAGCATATGTCTGCAAAACCATGCAATAAGACTACCACAAGTCTCAAGGAGTTGGGTTACTGTTCTGCTGTTCCTTTTGATAAAACTGCTGAAATACTGCATGCAGTATATGTGATATTTTCTGGTGCTGTGTACATGGTGGTGATGCTATGTATGCTCCAGTAGCTCCACAGTTCTCATCTTGCACAGGCACAAGAAGAGGATGCAAATTATATCTAGGACCAATATCTCTCCTAGATCTAGCCCTGAATCCAGAGCAACACAATTTTTCTACTGGTGAGCACCTTTGTCTGCTTTTATACACTCTCCACACATTTTAGCATCTGTTTAATTTTTTTATTAATCTCAGCTAGTATCTGTTGAGTAGTCATGCAATATTTTTAATGTATTTTGCTTCTCTCAGCCCCTACTTGCTCCTGAGACGTGATTCCAGTGCATCAAGCCTTTGCTTTGCTTGGTAAACTATTGAAAATCCCCTAACTAAAATTCACCCTGACTATTCTAAAACCTTACAGAATTCTCATATTTTGTGTCATGCTCAGAAAACTGTAACCACAGTATAATATTTGTATTCTATGGGATTGTTGTTTTGTATAACAACACTGCTATGTTAAATGTGCATGTGTGCTTTTTACATGCATAATTGCATGAATGAACATGTGAGAGCATATCCAATGAGATTTTGTTTATTATTCAAGCAATACCACTAAAAGACTTAATGTAAAGTATAAGTTGCAAGAGATAGAAGAATGAAAATAATTGTTAATTTCAGAAATGTAAATAAGTTAAACTATAATAGCAAATTGGTTTCATACAAATTCCATTTTATGTTAGCTTTTTTTTCCTGGGGAGAGAGTGAAAACTGTAAATAAATCTAAGTGTTTTCATTTTTTCCCTTTGGGATTTGCATTAGTGGTGTTACTTAAAATAATTTTGAAAACTAATTCACAGGATATTTCAGTTGAGTCCCTTCAGTGTGTCTTTGTGATGCTGAAAAATGGGGTGCATTTTCATGGTGATCACATGGTGTCTGCTTTATGATATGCATACAGTTTTCTTGTATGTGTTGATTTTCACTATTTTTACTTATTTCCTTAGACACATGCTTCATTTTGAAAACATAACCAAAATTTAAAATAAGGTCATGAGTATCCAAAATGACAATCATGATTTCCTTCTTAAGATGAAATTTTCACTTACTGGTAGGTAGCCGTGAATCTTTCATGGACAAGTCAGGCTTGTTCTTGTCAATATCTTTTTCCAGAAGCCCCCTCTGCTTGGAGTTACTGCTTTATACATGAATTCTATAGTGTCCAACGTGCTTTCCTTGGCTTGAGTCAATATTTCACCACATGTTCTATCGCCTTTACTATAACTGAGAACAACTGGGACTCTCAACAGCCAACTAAGTACCAGGAAGGAGTTTCAGGCATCTTACCTCTCCCTACATAACTATTGGCTTTGGATATGTTGTGGCCAATTGACACTCATTGTCTTCACAGCACACTCTGATGTATAGCCTTTTCCTCTGAATTGATACACTCCTTCAGGAGGAGGGGGCTAACTGGAATAAAAAAATAGACAAAGTCACCTTGTTTGAGAAATATGAAACTGGCAAGGATCACAAGGGCCTCTCTCCAGTTATCCAGTGCTATGGAAGCAGAAGACATCTGTTGGGGGAGGATATCCTCAGCTGTCTAGCTACCTTGAGAAGATTATTAGACAGGGAGTGCTGCCTGAAAGTCACACAAGAGCTTCAGGATTGTAGTTTTCACTAGACTATACTCATATCTTGGTGGGCCATTTAGTGATGCAGTTATTTTTGCTCTGCATTCTGTTTCTGTTGGCTAACATCATGTTTGAAGTTTAAACTTACTATGCTTGAGAAACCAAAAAGCAAGTGTGCCTCCAGCATATAAGCTCCTAGCTTGTTCAAGCTGTACTGTGAGCCCACTCCCCTTTTCCTCAGACATTGAAGATTATTTTGAAGAACTGTCTGCTCTTGTAAAAAATGAATGAATAAATAAATAAATAAATAAATAAATAAATAGACCACCTCTGCTTTTCTTACAAGATAAGGATCACTAGGCTAACTGTTGTTTCTGCTTTTGTATTCAAGCTTGCTTACTCTGTTCAAAAAGAATTGCCAAACAAAATGTAACCTTATGAGTTTTGTCTGGAATGACATGACTCCAGGCTACATCTTGGGAGCTCTTTCAGATGTAGTCCTGGAACCAGGTGTTGACACCAATACCAAAATAAAAACCTCCTCTATTATAATTTTTTATTGTCAAATTAATAAAACACTGATCAACTCCAGACCCATAACCTGTAAGGAAGCCCTTCTCTAGACTCCTTTTAGTCACTCCAAAAATGCTGTTTGGTTTTCCAAGCTGTCTGGACTTCACTGGAAAAATTCATTTGTTCTGTTGTAGGTTTCCTCTCTGTGTGTGTTGAGCGTCCTCAGGAAAATTCTCTCACAAAATATGCTCCTGATGACCACCTCCACGCTTATTGTCACTGGTTTCGCTCTATGTCACGTAGTAAGATAAAAAGACATGAACCTGAGAAAGCACCTCATACAGAGGAGAGATATTTGATACATGTTTTTATTTACAGCCATCCTCATTCTGTATGTAACACATACTTAAGTTTGTTCTGCCGTTTCCTCTCTAGAGTAATTAGAAATTTGCTCATGTTTCTTCAGAAACAGTGTTTTGAAATTTAGTTCAAACAGACTCACATGGACTCACCACAGCATTCTACTAATCCTGAAGAGAAGAACAAACATCACCCCTACTAAAATTATTCCATAAAATGAAAAAGTGCTCTCTATATACTCTGATACCAAAACCAAAAGAGTGGAAATTAAAGATAAGTACCTTTGATGAACACAGAGCAAAATTTTTCAATAAAATACTTGCAATTGAATTTAAAGGCAGTTAAAAAACCAATTCAATACTACCATGCTGGCTTCATTCCAGAGATGCAGAGATGGTTTAGCATGTGCAAATGTAATGTATTAGGTCAATGGACTCAATTTGGAAACCACAGATTATATCAACAGATGCAAGAAAAACCTTTGTTATTTTTCAGAATTCCATGATTAAAATTCCTGAGAAACTAGTGGTGGAGGGGACATATTTCCAAATAATGAAGGCTGTATATGACAGACCCACATCCAACATCATCTTAAATGGAGAAAAACTTGAAACATTTCCACTAAGATCAGGGAAAAGACAAGGATGTCCTCACTCCTAGTCAATATAGATTTGAAGCTTAAATAGAGTATTTTTTTTTTTTTTTGGTTTTTCGAGACAGGGTTTCTCTGTGTAGCTTTGCGCCTTTCCTGGGACTCACTTGGTAGCCCAGGCTGGCCTCGAACTCACAGAGATCCGCCTGGCTCTGCCTCCCGAGTGCTGGGATTAAAGGCGTGCGCCACCACCGCCCGGCTAAATAGAGTATTTAAGACAGAGAATAAGAGGATCCATATGGAAATAAACTGGAGGTGGGTGGGGATAGGAATATGAGGGACCAGGTTGGGGGATGGATAGAGGGAGAGAGTAATGAAAGAAATGCCTTGATGAGGGGGCATTTCACGGTCAGGTATAACAATGGTGCAAGGGAAACTCCCATGAATCTATAGGGATGACCCCAGCTAAGACTCCCAGCAATAGTGGATAAGCAGCCTGAACTGGCCATATTGGTGACTATCCTAACTGTCATCAGAGTGTAGTTGAAGTTTTCCTGTGTTCCTCCTGGGCTGTGGTCAGGACAAATCTATCTCACCTGCCAGTCCTGCAGCGGCTTGGAACCAAGTAAACACAGAGAGGCTTATATTAATTAAAACTATATGGCCTAATGGCTCAGGCTTCTTGCTAGCTAGATCTTACACTTAAATTAACTCATTTCTATAAATCTATACCTTGCCATGTAGCTCATGGCTTACCAATATCTTTACATCTTGCTTCTCATGGTGGCAGCAGCTGGTAGCATCTCCTGACTCAGCCTTCCACTTCCAAGAATTCTCCTCTCTGCTTATCCTGCCTATACTATATTTCCTGCCTTGCTACCAGCCAATCAGCATTTTATTTATCAACCAAATCAGACCAACACATTCATAGAATACAGAAAGACATCCCCAGCACGTCCCCTTTTCTTTTTTTTTTCAAGTATATATTCAATATTGATCATACTCACCCTTTACTGCCCCATCTAACACTATCAAGCACAGCTCTGAGTGACAAATCCTTCTTGACTTTGTAACTACCCTTTATAAATTCTTCTTGAATTGGTTGCCCAGTCATTGCTATTCAAGTGTGTAGTCATCCACATGGGCAGGGGGAGACCTACCAGTGACTACATTTCTAAAGAAAAAGAGACCTTAATAATAGTATTATTCTGATAAATGAACATGCTGTTAAATTGAGTCCCAATGATTTATCATTACATCATTAGTTCATCTCTTAACCCTCATCAGAGAAGCTTCTGTGTGTAGTAGATGATGATTAATACAGAGATCCACAACTGTTCAAGGATCAGAAAATAAGACACTGGTGGAATACTCATCCCCAAAAAGGACATCTATATAAAATCTCTCCATCCAAGGATAAGGATTTAGGGAAGAGGGTCCTGAAGATTGTAAGACCTAGAGACGGTAGGTGATTAGAATGAAACAGTGTTTTCTGTGAACAGGAAGGTTGTTGTACATGTGGATCCACAGCTGTTGACACTGTTCATGAGACATAAGCAAGATCAAGCAAGACAAAAGTATTAACATGGTCAGGAAATTGTCACACAGTCCCACTCTTGGCTAAGGAACTCTTGGCAGTTGATGGCTACTGGGAAAGGAAACATCAATTTCTTTAAGGGTGTGACATAGTTGCCTGGATCATAGTCCAGTAAGACCACACTGATAACAATAGTAATAGCAACTGCCAGTTGTTTCTGCAAACCTGAGAGTTTACATGTCTCCATAGAAACAACTTCCCATTGTATAAAAGCAGTTTCCCTCCATGACTGAGCATTACCAGGTATAATTTATGGGTAAACATGCGAAGTTAAAAAATGAATTTGAAAGGCCAATCACCACCATTTGACTAAACAACATTGTTACTCTCCCCACTGAAGGCAAAAGTTTGGACATACATAAGTCTTTTCCCTGATTTGCAGTAAAATATAGGGCTTCCATTCTGTGTGTTGGCCTCAAAGCCAACCAAATGCATACATATTTATTATGACAGTATTGCATTAGTAGGTACATCTGTTCTGGCTTGCTGGCTGTGTAGCACCCATGGTCCACAGCCCATGAGAAATTTTTCATTAACATTTCCCCACCACTAACTGAATAGTGTGTCATGGCAAAACCACAGCTAGCCAGGAACAGGAGAATGTCTACCTCCATTTATTGTTTGATTTCTTAGTGTCCTGCAAACAAACCATCTGATTCTAGTATACATCCAATAACAGTGCCCTCATCCTGAATGATGTGGGCACAGAGGATGGATACTTGACAGTACCCTTTTCTATACAGTAATGTAATTTCATTCATACACTTAAATTTCAATTTCTACTCTTCTTCCTTGGGCTTTTCTAAATCAGTAAGATACTCAAGAGTAATCTTTCTACAGCAGGGCAAATCTCTTAAGGAATTTGCTCTCAACTTCAGGCAAATAACAGAAGGTTTTGGCATTTAGCAGTTTGAAGAGTGCTAGAATAAATCATTAAAAGATTCAGTAAAATATAAAGGATCCCCATTGGTTTTTATCTGCTTGTCAGAAGAGCAATGTTAGGTATGGCAGCATGACTGAGGAATCTATATTCCTCAGCCCTTCATAATATGATAATATTTACTGTAAGCCATTCAGCAGCCTTTTGTACAAGCTCTCCTGTAGCTTCAGTATCATTTTGCATTTCCCAATCAGGTCTTGTCAGTGCTAACTTGCATTGCTAAGCACACATCAGGCCTAAAAGGGAACACCATTATATGGAAGCATGCTGTACACTCTACCAGGGTCACCTATTCAATTCTGATAGCATGTGGTTTGGCATCATGACCTTAGTATTTCAATGCTTACATGTGGTAGGAATCCCAGACTTGGCCAATGAACTTTATCCCAATTACACCTCCCTGCAGTGTATATATGTACACAGAATATGGTGTATAAACAACTGCCAAAACAGAGGATAAGACTAATTTATCCCTCTGCCATGTTTAATTTTTCCACATGCCCTTTTTAAGTACATCATAATTTCTGTGAAACATTGTTCAGATTGTTTTACTAATTTTTATCATTCTTTAAGAATTTTGTCCAATGTACTTTCATCATATTCACTTCCTCCCCACACTCTTCCCAGGCCTTTCCCCTTCCATCTGTAGCCAGATTTGTGTCTTATTTAATAAAATAAATACCTATCAAGCACAGCTGGTGTTTTCTATTAGTTCTTCAATGTGTAGCCTTCCATTAAAAAGTGGTCGACTCTACAGGTTAAATAACCCTTCACTCTTTCTGTAAGCTCTTTTGTTATATAATTGATATACATGGGACTGGGATACAATTTTGCTCGGATCTAGTCAGCTGGAATGATCCTTAATCGGTTTTTCACTTCTTATCACCCTTACTTGCCTTTAAAAGTTATGAAACTAATTAAAATGACAATATATATTACTAAAATATGCTAGACCATCACATAAAATTCTTACTGCATGATGACATTTAGCAAAGCCACTACAACCCCTCACTGTCCTGATGTTTTTGTTTAATTGACAACAATTTAAACTCTCCTATCACACCTGGATGAGATGAGCATCATGAACCACCTCTTACATGCTTGATTCTTTCCTACTGCCCCTCATTGCTCTATTATCCTTAGATTGGTGTTTTTCATGGGTACAGTAAATGACCATGATCAAGTGTCCCTGTTAGCTTATATGATCCAGTCCATCAGGACATTATTTTTTCACAATCTGTTTTAGGTTGCATAGTCTTTTTCTCAAGGATGCATGAGCACCTATGTTTCTTAATTCTTTGTTTCTATGACACTGACACTACAACTCATTACACGTGTCCCCAAGTCCTTCAGCCTCACAAACAGGACTGGGAGTGGTGCTTTCTTTTCTTGTTTAAAATATTTCCTAATAAAAACAGTGAATAGAGGATCTCTTGATTATCATACTTTCTGATAATATACACTGTTTTATGGTAGATTCTAACATTGTTCTAAAGCTCGTACCTGAGAGATATACCTCATCACATTTACTTTATTTGTCTCCTTTTGTGGATTCACAATCTATTAACATAAGGAAAAGGATGCTGATAGATATCTACTTGGTCCTCTTTTCCAGAGCAGCTGCAAATCAAGGCTACTGTGAAAGTCATAACACATGTCTCTTTCTCCTTACAGCCCTCCTGTGTGAGTGTGTTCTTTCTGGGCATTATAGAACTGGGAAATAATTTTATCCAGTTCTAGATAGGTGAACCCATGAAATTAGTGTGACTACTGACAGAAGCCAAGTTTTGTGGTTATTGTTTGATATTGCTGCTGTCATTTGCAGGGCATTCCTCTAGAACATTCTCTTCCTTGTATAGATACTTTTACTTCCTTCCAAATAGCAAAAACATTAAAGTTATTTTTCCATAAAATGTCAACTGAAGCTTGCCTTTTATTTATTATAAGTGCAAGCTTGTAGATGTAACCAACCTTCTTATTAAATAAGAAACCCAGAACCAATGCAAAGAAGAAAGCTAAGAGGTCAGAGCTAAGAGCTAAAATCCTTATCCTTCTTCCTGCGGTGGTCCTACCTCTCCGAACCAGAGCTACTTCCTGTGTTAAAGTCTTTATATAGAGTTCCTGTTCTGCCTTCTCATTGGTTGTAAACCCAACCACATGACCACCTCATCACGGCCTGTCTGTACAGGCCTCCAGGTTTTCCATGATTGGTATTGAGATTAAAGGCATGTGTATCCAAAATAGCTGTATCCCTGAACACACAGAGACTTACCTAGCTCTGACTACCAAGTGGTGGGATTACAAGTATACGCCACCACTGCCCTGCTTTCCTATGGCTTGCTAATAGCTCTGATCCCGGGCAACTTTATTTATTAACATACAAATAACATTTAATACAAATAAAATATCACCATACAAGCTCCAAGAATTAATTTGATCATTTATAGTTAGCTTTGAGAAATTCCGTTGTGAATTGATAACATCCTATGCTTTTTATTGTATCTCTTTGAAATACTAAGATAAAAGTCTTATAATTGAAATTCTCTTTTATATTGCTATGTGAAGATGTTACACACTGAAATGAGGAATGGAAACTCCATTTGATTGTTCATGGAATCAAGAAATATAATGTCACATGCATAGCTCAATGACAGGCCTCATACAGACCTCCAGAATCTCATGATGCTTACCTCCCTGTTTACCTTCAGGGAACACAAAAGGGGACAGTTTAAATGAGCTCTATAATTTTCCTTCAAGAAGTGGCAGCAAGAATGTTTTTCTGTTTTGAATACTGTGAACAGGGGAAACATTGCTCAGAAATGTTTGTGCTTCCACAGCTGTGTGTGCTTATTACTACAGCAGGTGAAAAGTTATGAGGGGAGGGAATATGACATAATCAAGACAGATGTCTCAGGCACTGACTGCCTCCCTGCAGCCAGTCTGCTGGTAATAAAGATTGTGGCATTGATATCAGCATCTTACCAAAAACAGTATCACAGGTATTGTCTCCAATTGCAGTATTTTCAGCAGGGTCTATAGATCAAAAGCCATCTCAAGATTAAATGTGAGTGACCACAAAGAAAGAAAAGTGAGTTTGTACCTGATACTAGGACAATATTTCATTAATGGAGAAAATCCAGAGAAAAATTCTCCAACAGCAAATAACTAAATCCCTAATTACTGATGGCACTGAATCTCCTCCAGAGATTCATATTGCAGTGGTATAATCAGAGTCATAATGATAACTGTTTTTCAAAGTGCTAAAGTATGTTTTAAAACCTACCTGCTAGCTCCTCTGCCACAACAGGCATCCTCCTCTGCATGGTCAGCTTTTCATCATCTGGTCCCACAGTGTCACTATGCCATCCTGGGGTGGAGAGTAAAACAATGAATCATCCTAAGCAGAAACTATATCTAGTGGTCGTGTGCTGGGTTCTCTTTATCTTGGAAACATGTATTGTATCAGCCATCAAAGGACTTTAGTCTGAACTAAGGATGAGGCAGATTCCCTAATAAAGTCAGCCAAGTCACCTACAATTTGAAATTAGCATTTGAATAATATACTCTCAATGTCACCAGTCATATATGTATCATTTCCTTAGTTGCTTAAAAGTTTTCTCCTTTTTTTGTCACAAAAATACCTACCTAACATGGTAATTCAATCACAGGATGCTCAGAATTCAGGTGCAGATTGGAGTCTCTATATGCTGCAACACACAGCTGTGAATCTAAACTTTGTATAGATATTTACATCTGTTTGAAATATATAATAAGATTATTTCATTTTTTATAATAGCAAGATACTTCATGGCCAAAGAGGGCAGTATGTACACATACTTCCCATGGTAGAGGTATTTACCAGCATTCCATTATTACTAATAAAATTATCTGATCAGGAATCAAATTAGCACTTCAATGTGTCATCCCAACTTTTATAAAGCTATGCACAGATTGCAAATTTAATTTAGGGTTATATCTTCTTTATGGTAATTAAGCCATATCATTTCACTTGTGTTATCATTACACTGTTGCTATATTTTCTCCCCCAGCATCCTATAATGCACAATGAAGGGCATAAAACAGGTAGAATATTTCCTGGGCAGTTGAGGTTAATTTGTGTATTGCATCTTAAATACACTTAAAAATAGGCTGTTAACTAATTACTAAATGCAGTTAAGAATGATGACAATGGACTGGGGTCTTTGGCTACCTATTGGTCCTCCTTGGCCAATAACTCAAAATGAGGTAGTTCATGCTAGCAATGAAATTTTCATTCAGTAACCCATGTCTTCTGGGCCAGAATTGTTCACCTACACAGGGAAACTTTGTTAAAAATGCTCTTTGTTTCTATTTGATTATTAATAAAAAAATGGTAAAGGATAGTTTCCTTTGAAATATCAATGGTAAACCACTTTCAGTTGTGAAATCAAAGAAAAATAAATCAACTTGAAAGGTGACATTGAATGCAAAAATACACAAGCATAAATTTGTAGCATCCAGTTCAATTTAATGTGCTCTCTGAGAATATCAACAAGTATTTTCAATGACTTTTCATCTATATTTAATAATGACACCAACTGAAATGAGGAAGTAAAAATGAGATTTCTGTACAGAACACTTCAATCAGGAAATACCATGTACACATATAACTCAATGTTAGACCTCAGACAGACCACATTATCTTCTCATCTCTAAAGATGAGATCCTGTGACCTCTGAAACAGATCAGATAACAACCTCTCTGAACTCTGCAGTATTTCATTAAGAGCTCAATTCAGGAACTTATAATTCTTCTTTGCTAATGGTCACCAAGGGAGAAAAGTTCAGAGCAAAGTTCTTGTCTGTTCAAGCCTGCATGCCCATTGCTACTGCAGGTGAAATAATAATTGCAGGTCTGAGGGGAGGTGAGGTCATAGAATCACAGACCCATATTTAGGCACTGACTGGCTCCCTACACTCGACTTCCTGATCTTTGTGGCCATGGAGCTGTGATCAGCATGCTGGTAAGAGCAAATGTACTGACAGTGTAACAGACTGCAACCTGAGGGCAGAGATAAAGAGAAATTGTGGGAATCTTGGTAAGTGAACATAGAAGACAATAGAACAGGGGGCTGAACCAGGATGAAAGACAAAGTCACAAAAGATACAGAGAATCCTCAGGGATGGAATCAGGAAGAAAGGAACACTGGGTTCCTAGAAGCACTGAGTTATACATTGAACCTAACATGTTTCTCATTGTCAGTGCCTGATGTGCTGTTTCCCACTAGAAAAGAAGGCTGGCCCTAAAGGGGCCATAAAATGTCACTCTGAAGACAACTTTATTCTTTATGAGGAGATTTCCCTAGGGCACCCGATAAATGGGAGTTTCTGTAGTCAATGACAATGCATAGCTTTGAGGAAATTTGTAAGTCTGTGTGTTTTAATGTTGTCTGTGCACTTATGCACAGTGAAAATATGGAGCATAAGGGGCATGGTAATGAACGCTGAATGGAGAAAGTATTTACAGGCTCTCTCAATGATTCCAACACTGTGCACTTGGATGTGTACAGACTTTTCTATGAAATATTTTGAAATATGTCCTATAAATCAGATTAGAAGTAAATTCTCATGGCAATAAATTGAAAATAACAGCAACCTGCAATCTCCTTTTATATGAATAATAAAGTTTCAGCCATTCTAGGAATACACCAAGTATTACTTCATGCTTTTAATAAGGAGTGAGATCCTTCCTTCAAACAATATAATCCTACCTTCAATTGGATGAAAATGAAGGACTCTTTAACACAAAGCATTTTTTCTGCCCCAGAGTGAGAGTATAATTAATGGAAACAGCATTCATATCCATTTGAAAATGCCTATGTTGACTAAACCTCAAGTATCATACTTCCATAGAAATGGCAAGGGATACTGAAATGAAAGCAGTTATATATTTATTTCTTTCTGTCCTCAAATATTAGGACTTAATCTTGTTTTAACAAGTATGAAAACATTCTGATCAATTTTGGTACTAAATTATCCTGGCATAGAATATTGTAAAATGGGAAGTCTGACCAAATAAAGGGGATTTTTGAGATCCCATGGCCTCTCCTAAATTTATCATTGTACATAAAATATTTTACATATTAATGTCTGTTAACATTTTAATAATTCCAACTATGTCAATTTTTGAAATTATCACTTCTCATATTGACATGTTACATATATAGCCTATAATTTACTAACTTCAACTCTATTATAAGTATTCAAAAATTTACTTCATTCTGGTTTCAATATAGATATCATCTCTGAACTTTGGTTAATATTTTGGCCATCTTAATCAGTTATGCATGGATTGATATTTATTTCCCCAAAGTGAACACAGCACAGGTCATTATTGATCAGTTGTCACAACGGGGTTATTACTATGTTTCTAACATGAGCCACAGGAGGCTTCCGGTGCTCAAGCTGTCACTGAGGCATCATTGCCTCTTTCCGCATTTCCTGAGTGTGAACCCAAAAATAACTGAATGCTTTGTGCCCCTATTCAATCCTTTCCATGTGTGTAATTTATGCCATGACAGTGGCTGCCCTATAGGTTGAATATTTCTTGTGGACTCATTCTGGATAGAGAATGTCTTGTTTCCTGTATGTGTAGCCCCAGCCTCATCTTCCCATGCAGGATCCTCAGACTGAGAGTAGGAACTGACGCCATGGCAGCCTGTGAGCTAGCTGTAGGAGTGATCTTCTTGTGTCTGACTGTGATTGGAGTTCTGGGGAATTTCTCTCTTCTCTACCATTATCTGTTTCTTTACCGAATAGGGTACAAGTTAAGGTCCACTGACTGGATTTTAATGCACTTGATGGTAGCCAACATCTTCAATCTATTGTGTAAAGGAATGCCCCAGACAATGTCAGCTTTTGGTTCAAAGGACTTCCTCAATGATATTGGATGCAAATTGGTTTTCTCCTTTCACAGAGTGGGCAGGGGTGTGGGTGTTGGCAGCACCTCCTTCCTCAGTGTCTTTCAGGCCATTGGGATTGGCCTCAGGGATTCCAGGTTTTCAGACCTTAAAGTCAAAACGCACAAGTGCATTTGTTACTCTGTGTACCTGAGCTGGCTACTTCATTTCCTTATAAGCAGTGTCAATCTTGTGCACATGAGGGCAAAACATGGCAACGAAAGCACAACAAACCTCAAATCTTTCCTATACTGTTATTGGGTCCGTCATGACAAAACCAGAGACATATTATATGCAATATTGCTGTCAGCTCCTGACATTCTTTTTCTGGGGCTCATGCTATGGGCCAGCAGCTATATAGTTCTCACACTGTATAGGCACAAGCAGATGATGAAGCAACTGCCCAGGAATACTGCATCTTCAAGATCTTCCCATGAGTCCAGAGCCACCAAAACCATCCTTCTCCTGGTTAGTACCTTCGTTTCTTTTTATACACTTTCCTCCCTCTGTCAACTCTTTGGTACTCTAGTATACAAGCCCAGCTGGTCTCTGGTAAATGTCACTGCAATGGCCTCCCTGTTTTTCCCGACTGTTTGTCCCTTTCTGCTCTTGAGCCGTGATTCTCGGATGTCCAGATTCTGTTTGCCCTTAAAAAGCAATAAACATTTCCCCAATGTCTCTGACCAACAGCTGAAGTGAAAGTTTGTTCACAGTTCTTAGTTGTTACTGAGTCATTCTGAAAGAATTGTGAGCATAATTACAGTCACACCAAGTCAGTGTGCAGATTTTTGCAGAAAAGCTAGTAAATTACTGTGCATGGAGGTGTGCTTGCAAACACACATGCTCACACACATGTGTAATTGAGTGTATCATTTTGTGTGCAAGCATGGGAACCTGCATTTTCTTTATCATTATGAATCAAGGTATTTATCTGGATGATCATGTAATATATATAAAATACAAAGGATCATGAAAATGTGAACTTTAGGTATCAACTTAAGGTAATTGTTAAAAAGTTCATAATATCATATCACTTTTGTGATGTGCTTTCTGCCTGTTTGGGTGATTGACACGGAAATAAATGAAAGAGCATTTAAACTGAGGCCGATTTTTATTTCTGATATTTTCCTGACTCTTGAATTCTATGCTACACTCCATTGTTTTAGAACAGAAGGTGAACTTATGCCCATGATTTACTCTCCCTCTTGTACTTATGTTATATTGTGTATTTTTCCTTCTCCCACACACTGCTTAAATGCAGATTTGTGCCTTTAACACCTTTCAATTTGCAGGTCACTTCCTCACAGCACAAGGATATTTGTACACTGTATACAACTCTGCATGCATTTTCAAAATGGATACTAATGTAATCAGGTTCAAACCTGATGGGAGATGCCCATCTCAAAACTATTCAAAATGGGAGCACAGAGTGAACTCACTGCACAGATCCCCATAACCAATTCTCAATTCACAGGAATGAAATATTTCTCTGTGTAGTGTTTATATTTGATTTTTATGATTTTCTGTAATTGTCTCTGTATTCCTATACATTGATAACAGAATTCAAATGTGTGAAAATTAAGGAGTAAACACGGGTCTTTTTTTGCTCAGTGAACAGAAGAAGTCTCAGGAGTTAAGAATGTGCGCTGCTTTCATAAAGCCTAGAGTTGTGATCCAAGCATCTACATTCTTTAACTCACTGTTACCTGTAACCCCAGGTTTAGTGGATCTGAAATCCTCTTCTGATTTCCACAAGCACTGTACACATGTGTTGAAATTAGACACAACTGCACATAATTTAAAAATAACCAAAAGTAAATCTTAAAAACCCTTTGATGTATTTGTTGATCCACATGCTTTGTGGTTGGTACATGGTCTCAGTATCTCCTGGGCACCATGTGCTAGAAACTTGATTCCCAGTGTTGTGATGTTGAGGTGTAAGAAACATCCCACGTTTTAGCTACCTCTCGCTGCCTGTCTTTCCAGGTGTGCTCTTTTGAATCACTTCCCCAACTACAGTGATTTTATGTGCTCTGAGGTTTCACTATAGCTGGTCAGATTCATCTGCATACTTGCTACTTTTTTTCAGGAATAACCCAAGCTTCTGAATTTCATTCAAGAGACAAATAATGGTTAAATAAATGTTTCTTTTTAAATATGAAGTATCATGCATGGATGGACACTGACATGTAGGTCTTCCAAGATATTCTTGTGGTAGTTGTATGAACAATTTCTGTGTATAAATATATGTGCACGCTTGTTAGTTCACAGGTATTTCAGTTTCAGAATGGACATAAAGAATTTTTACATATTATTCTGTAATTCTCAGGACAGTATATGCTCTTGTTTAAAAACACTGTGTCATTCATAAGTTTTGCTTGGTTAAAAATACATCATTATACTAGCTCTGCCTTGTTTTTCTTTCTATTTCTTCTGAAACACCAAGACAGAAGGAAAATATTGTTTCCCTGGATGAGTCCCCAATTGGTTTTACAACAATTTCTCATCCCTGAAATCACATACACACAAGCAACACGAAATGGATTGAGTAGGTTTTATTTATATGTTTATGTGTATAGATGTGTGTGTGTGTGTGTGTTTATAAAGAAAATGATGTCATGAATGCAAATGGAACTAAATCAATGGGACATGGAAGGGGTTGGAGAGAGGAAAGGGAAAGGGGAAATGATATATTTGTATTTAAATTAAAATAAAAATTACTATTTACATCAGAATTGTGTTCAGAGTCAGTACATTTCCTCTATTAGTAGAGATTTAATCCACTCATTTAAAGGAAATTATACAGTTGATTATATTATGAAAGTGTTATATTGATCAGTCTGACATTACCTATCCTCACCTCACTCAGATTATCATCTCTCACCCTCCAAGCTGAGTTTCAACTCTCCTGCTTAGTCTGTCAGTTCTTGCTTGTCAGTCACATGAATGCCACAGCAACTCACAATCAAGGTTAGTCACCAGATGAAAAGTTTCAATTAGAGGGTCTTGTTAAGAGTGTGCAGTCAGAAGCACCAGGTATCTTCTTTCCCCTAGCAAAGAGCACTTTCAGAATCTTTTACAGTGGCTAAAGGACTCTAGACATGTGCAATGAACATGTGAAAACTCTCATTAAATGCTTGTGTTGCACATCAACACCAATTGAAGGTTGTAGCACCCAACACAACAGGGTCCAATTGTATCCTAGCCATCACTTAATGCAGGTAGGTACCTTCATGTGTTTCAGCAGCTGACCACACATATCTCATAGAAGTGATGGTAAGATGTTTGAAATCAACATATAATTACTGGAGACCTAAGTGCTGATTGATATTTTAGTATTGCATTTAGTAACACAGACACATTAAACCATGGTAACAAACCTTCCCACAAAGTTGTAGGCACCATCCTATCCACTCCTTAAACTTAAAGAACTAACATCCTATCTTTTTTTGTGATCTCCCAGCTGTATTACAATGACAGCTTATCTGCACAATTTTATGAAGACTATCATGGAGATATAGTCTAACAGAATTTTCAACTTCCTATTTCAAAATATACCTAATGTGTGCAATGATGGTTATGAAGAGATAAGCAGGCCAGACACTGTAGAATATACCTATAATTCCATCATTTGGGAGGAAGAGGCAGGAGGATTTCAGTGAGTTTGAGATTAGCAGGGTCAAAAGTATGAGTTCCAGTACAGCCGTCTATGTAGAGAGACACTGTCTCAAAAGCAAGCAATCAACAACAACAGAAACAGTAAAACAGAGCATTAAGTAGAATCTGAGATGACAAGAGTCTGATTTCTAGATCTACGTTGTCAATATCTATTTTTCTACTTTTGAAATACAGGAACAGACGCTTCATATTCACACAAAATGCTTCCTTACAAGTATGAGAAGATGAGTTTGGATAACTAGCACACCTGAAAAAGTTGAGTGTGTTGAAGAGGGTAAAAAGAATATACAATTTGCGAATTAGAGATAGGCAAAAATTACTGAAATCACTAGAAAACAAGGTGAGAAAATCAGCATGCTTCTGGTTTATTGGTAGATCTTGCCTGAAAAAAATACATTGGTAAGTGATAGAGGAAACACATACATCATATATATGGCCTCAAATTGTACACCTACAGACATCTACATATGCTCAAGTACAAACACAGAAAATCACACACACACACTTGTAAACACATTTTTAAAGTAGTTAGATGCCACACATAGTCTGTCTTCTTTTGGACAAGAATTGAATGGCAAGAATATGTTTAATATCACAAATAAATCATGATGTATATGATTAACTTTACAATTAATATGAAATTATTCACAAACTGAATACTTGCCTGGTAGATTAAATTCTGAATTAAAAATGGGCTCAATTGGCTAATGAAAGTGTTATCTAAACTCATAAAATAATTTATTAATTAGTTGGAAAAAGAAAAAAAACGGACCATGTTTATAAAAAACAAAAAGACAAAAAAAAAGTAATTCTGAACCTGACCCAGGTTATGGAAATCTAGAATGAGTGAGTGGACATGTGGGAGAGAAGGTATTGGTCAAAGTGCTTAATAATGAGGAAGACAGAGTAATAAAATATGAAAATATTTAATGGTAATAAAATGTGTAAACATATATCACATGAAACTTCAATGTCCAAATATCAATAAAGATAGAGACAGGGGGCACAAAAACCATCCAGGAGAAGAAAGAGAGAATATACCCAGGATGCCATATATATCGTATGAAATGATAAAAAATCCACTTTGAAGCAAACAAAATAAACTCACTAAGTAGAGAGATGTCTTAATTTGCTTTTTATTACTCTGACAAGCACTGTGGATACACAAACTTGGGAAAGAATTGGTTTGTTTCATCTTACAGCTTATAATCCATTGCAAAATAAAATCAGGACAGTTAATCAAGGTAGGAACCTAGAAGCAGAAACCAAAGACGTAATGAAGGAACACCACTTAGAGGGTTGTAGCCTATGAATCTTTCAGCCTGCGTTGTTATAAAACCTAAGGCCACCTGCCCACAGTAGGCACCACCCCTAATGGGCTGAGTCCTTACATATAAATCATTAATCATTAAAATGGAACACATAATTGCCTGCAGGCAATCTGAGGGAAGCATTTTCACAACTGAGTTTGCCTCTTCCCAGATGATCAGAGCTTCTGTCAAACCACCACCACCAACAAAAATCACAATAAACTTGGCAGTAGAAGGGACATGAAAGTCAAGTGGATGACAAGGGAGCAAAGAGGAAGACAGAGAAGAGGGATGGTGAAACATTTGAAAGTTCAACAATGGTAAGTCAAGTGCAGTGTAACATACTAGGGCTTCATGCCAGTCTATAGAAGAATGCAATTCAACCTGAAAGTGATATGCCTATTTTTGTCATAAAGGTGACATTTTTCTCAAAGTTAAAATGTGATTTTTTTCAAGGTCATGTAACACAAATCAATGGAAGATTAAAGGTTTTACAGAAAAATATTGAGTCTTATATCAGGGATGCTTGTAAGCACATCTGCAATCTCAAAATAGTGGAAGCTGAAGTGCATGATACTTGGGTTCTAGTACATTTTTTTCATGCAATCCAACCTGAAATAAAAGGAATTTCAACAACATAGCAAGCAGAAGACATTCCTTAATTTAGAAATATTTTAATAAAGGAACAAAAGCAGTATATTCTGAGATTGTCCTCTAGTACAGCTCTGTATTCTTTAATACACATGGCATTATCACTGTGTCACATAGAAGCGGTGATAACCTCTGAGTTAGATCTTCAAGTTTCCCTCATGGAAGATTTTGGCAGCACTTAGTAACCCTCAGGTCTCATGAGCCACTCATGGTCCTTCAAGAGATGTTCAGCACCACCTTCACATTCCTAAAGATTTTAATGCTAGTGACCCTGGGCTGGGGCATCTCAGGTGTCTGCACCCAAGGTAGCATTTTAAGTTCAACACAACTGTCTTTGAGTCATTTCTGTTCCCATATCTAATCCTCATCCATATTCTTGTAAGTAACACAAATAAAACTCATTGGTTCAGCAAGTTGGATTTCAGTGTTCTCCAACTGTCTGTTATCAGTTCTCTGTTTAGAGTAAGTAGAAATTTACTACCCCTCCCCAAGAATAGTGTCTCACAACAATATTTACTACTGAAAGACACTGTAGTAAGGAAGATATTGCCAAAGATTAGTCATCACTGTTACAGTATTCGATGTCAATTTTCCAAGGTAGAAGAGAACTACTTTCACAAGACAGTTGAGAAGTAAATTAAGGGTCCTGTAACAGCCTGGATATAGGAGGCACCTGTATGTTACACTCCTCCCACCCCAACTCCATTTTCTGGGAAGTCTTCCTTTTTGTGTGGACTCAAGATACACATAGATATATGACCCTGTCTCTCCTCTCCATACTTACTCTTTTTCCTACTAAAGCCTGCTTGCAGAAGCACTTCCTTCAGCCACACATTCACTCACTGAGAACCACACCTTTTTGTGAAGACTTGCTCCTCTAGATCTTTCCCAAAGCCCCATTCATCCTTCCCTCTTAGCTCATGTCCATCTCTTTCTGCCAACTGTTGGGGTTTCTACTGCTTTTAAGAGACACCATGACTATGGCAATACTTATTAAGGAAAACAACTAATTGACACCACAGCTTACAGTTTCAGATGTTCAGTCTATTATCATCATGAGGAGGAACATGTCACTGTGCAGACAGACATGGTACTATTGTAGTAGCTGAGAATCCTACATCTTACAGGCAACAGGTAATTGACTGAGACACTGGGATGTATCCTGAGCACAGGAATCTCAAAGCCCACCCCCACAGTGATACACATTCTCCAATAAGGCCACATCCACTCCAGCAAAGCCACACCTCCTAATAGTGCCACTTCCTATGAGATTATGGGATCCAGTTACATTCAAACTACCACATTCCACTTCCTGGTTCCCATAAGGTTGTTACAATATCATAATGCAAAATGCATTTAGTCCAACTTAAAAAGTCTCCATAGCCTGTGAGAGTCACAACAATGTTTCAAAGTTCAGAGTCTTTTCTGAGAATCATGCATTCTCTTAACTGTAATCACTATAAAAATAAAAACCAAAAAGCTTATCACATGCTTCCAACCTAAAATGGTACAAGGTATACATTACCATTTCAAAATTCAGGGAAGGTAGCATAGCAAGGAAATACTGGACCAAAGCAAGACTGAAAACCAGCTGGGCACACTCCAAGCTGTGCATCTCCATGTCTGATGTCAAAATGCTTTTCAGATCTCCAAATCCATTCAGCTTTGATGACTGCAACACACTTCTTTCTTTTAGGATGGTGCCACTCCCTGTTAGCAGCTCTCCTTGGCAGGTTTCCCATGACTCTGGCATCTCTAACATCTTGGCGTCTCTAAGGCAACATAGACTTCAACCTCACAGCTTCATGCAATGGCCTCTTTTTTAGGCCAACATTCAGGGACACCCCTGGCACATATCTGGTGTGCCCCACCAAACCTGGTTGTAAGCTTTTCTTTAGTTCTTTTTCATAAGTTGGAAACATAGCTAGGTAGCTTAAGTCCTGGTTAAGTACTTCATCAAAGATAGTAGGGGGATTCTAGAATCCCAGAGGTAAATGGGTCCAACTCAGTGTCCCCAG